AGCACTTGCAGGCCCGGAGAGATTGGACGTACCGGCCACTCATCCCTTATATACCCATTCTTACTGTCTTCCAATCATAATTCTTGTTATAATGATGATACAATGTTGTTAGAGTTTCTATTTTACTTTATACCCAGACGCATACATGCACCCTCATATGGAGGGGTCGTCTTCCCCTTTTCACGGAGCGTCTGGGGTCCCCCGGTTTGGACGTGTTCGCGCTGCCAGGGACGGGCCCCGCCCTGGAGCACCTCAGAGCAGGGCTCCCCAGTGGGCGCCAGTTCGGTGTTTGGTGGTGTAAACAATGAATTGTATGTCATTGTATGGCATTGCAACCAATCGGGTTTTGTATTTTGGTCTTTTATTGTGGGTTTACCATGTTTTAGTTGTTTAATGAAAGATATGGAAGGGACTACAGTGACCAGAGGTGGTTTGCAGTTTTGGACTCCCAAGACGCTTGGGTCAGGCCCCTTGACGCCGATCATGCTGCATGCAACGTCCGGTTCGATACATTGTACCTCACATTTGGGGTCCACCATGGCCCACCCTAGCTATCCTCGCCACCCTGACTCTAAGGGCTGGCGCGCCGCCGCAACTGCCACTGTTCGGCGCCCGGAGTGTCGACCGACTACGTCGTTACCCGAAGGTTATCACTGCTGGGTCACCAGAGATACATGTTTCATTTGATATATGTTTCACAGACCAATTGTCATTGAACCGATGTATTTGGCGGTGTTGGGCTTGTGAGCCTTTCTCCGCATCACCTCCTTCCTTGCCATGTCTCCATGCTGAATGAGGATAGATTTCGGAAGGGTTGTTTCCTTGGTGCGGATCAACTCATTCATTTCAAGAGGCCAGACCGTAGCTGTGGGTCGAAACCACCCACTTGGCAGGTGAAGCTACATGATGTTGGGGCTCCAGGTTTTGACCCATCCCCAAATCTGAGAGATGAGTGGAAGAGATGCTTTGGCGCTGGTGCTGATAGCGCGCGAAGTACACTCTGCCCATCTCTGCTCCACAAGCCCATCCGGGTGAGGTCGAGCAGAGGCACAGCTCCAGGGCGGATGTTGCACTCTATTTGCGGCAGTGCTTCTGTGAACCTTTACTTGAGGTATGTCAGTATGTTGAAATGCTTGAAGACAAACAATGAAAGGCATGAGCAAGTCTGACTGGAGTAGACTGCGATGTCTTGGAGTGTCAACCAACTCCCAAACCTTTGGCCAGACTCGATTTTCGTTGCATCAAAAAGCGTCCGATGTGAAAAGTGCCAGGTGCCATCGGTGCAGATCCAGATTCCAGCCCGTTGCGCTGGTCGGGTCTCCTGCGTGAAAGGATCTCCTGGGGTTGTGCTGGTCAGTGTGTGTCAACTTTTAAATTTTTGCATAGGGGACATGCTACCCAACCAGTGGGGCGGTCTTTGTTCCTTCTTCAAGGAGGTCGAACTGTGAAATTACACATCCATACTGACTGATGAAGCAGAGGAGTTTTCATCAAGAGCTGATGCAGCTGTGCCCTCTGAAAAATATCCTTATTATGCCAACCTTCAGATCTGCTGTACCAGCTACAGGAATATGACAGGCTTCAACATACGTAACAATCGAATCTCTGTGGCTTTCTATTAGGTTGGGTCTTATTTTAGGCTCAATGCCATGAACATCTCTCAGCGAAACATATTAGTGAAGCAAGCGATGTGATGTGGACATGTTCCCATCAATGCGCGCACATGACCCATGTGAGCACTCTAGTATACTTCAGTCCCATTTCGCTTGAGCTCAGGGTGAGCCCGGTCTTTGCGCCTTTCTTCGTGCGGCGCCCCAACCGGTGGAGTCGGGACCGGAAGGGACCGAAGAGCAACAGCAGACGCTCAGGGGTCTGTGTTTGTCTGTGTCATCTAGGGTCCCACACTCAAACTTGTTGAACTCCTCCTTTCCCGGCCACGCAGGGCTATTCAAATGCATGCAGCCCGCAGTCGCGCGGAGGAGGCGCCGAGCATGCTGCAACGTAGGCCATGAACAGGCGGTTCACCTGGTCGGGTTCGCATGCGCATCGGAGTGGTGTCGCCTTGACCAACATGCCGTCTGGCCGTGCAACGGTGAGACATGAACACTTGCACGTCTCAGTAGCGAGCTTATGACGCGCCCCACTCCACAGCATGTTCTGCCCCACTCCGCAGCCCCAAAGGCAGGTCGGTTGGAAGATGATTGGCTCCACGTCGTTTGAGAAGTGACGTTGTTCGACCGAGCGGCCAAAAACGCGCGGCGTTTCGGACGTCTGAGCCCTTCAGGCGGCCCTCGAAGCCCCAGCCCATCTCCGCGGAATCGAAGCAGCAGCCCAAAGCCACGAAAAGCACGAGGTGGGGTAGCCCAATTCTCTTTTTTGGTTCAGCGGTTTCCTTCTTAGGACAGTTCATCCAAGTTTCCAGAACGCCAGGCGAAATGGATCGAAATTGATCGAAATGAAGGACCCTTCTTGACCTGGTCCAGATGATCACCACCCTCTTTTTTTCCTCTTTCCGCTAGTCTAAGGCTGACGCCTGTGACCGGTGCAAACTTGATCACCACCACCAAAGAATAGGTTTTTTTTTTTGCACAGATGGTGACCCTGACGACACCAGCTGTACATGGCAATGCACAAAAATTGCTTTTCCTGGGTCTTTCCTTGATGTGGCAGGGTTTCGTGGGGCACTGTGGGCGTTTGGTTGGTTGGTTGGTTGGTTGGCATGGCTTCTTACTCACTCGGGTCTCAACCACTGAAAAGAGTTACTGGCCGAATCTGTACCATGTGTTTGAAGGATTTGAGCCTCCTTGTTTCGAGCCTCCTGGAGCATTCGAAGACAGCGCACATGTGATCAGCATGTTATTCATGTCCAAGGTGGTGGTACGAGGTGCGACATTATTTGTAATCCAGACAAAGGTTTACTGTACTGGTGAGAAGAGGACAGTCAACTATCCCACTCCCAAGATTTGAAAGCCACTCAGGACAGATCGAAGTCTCATTTATGAAACAGGTATTGTTGCGAAGCGGTCGTGCTTGGACGATGACTGACCCAGTTTCAGAGCTCTTGTACAAACGTCAGAGGCTGGGGAATCCGTTTATGTGTTTATCTTTCACAAGCCTTGAGACGTTGGCATTGTGGTGTTGGTGTGGCTATCCATATACACATCTTCGTCGTGTGTCATGCTGTCAGACCGGTCCACGTGCCAAAAACACCGCGCCCAGGTGACCTGGAGGAGGTCGTGGATCCCGAAAACCCGAACGCTGGGGTGAGCGGCCGTCGGGGGACTGCCTGGGGGACTGTCGGGACCGATGGATCCGACGCCTGACGCGGAGCTTTGGAAGTCGCTGTGAGCAGCAGCTGGTTTTTGTTGCTTCTTGCGTTCTCGAACTGGTGTTGAACCTCCGTGAGAACTGCTCGATTGATATAGCTGAGCTGGAAGCACACGGTTTTGTGGGAACTGATCTGCGATCAAAAACCAGTCTTCATCAGCAGCAACTGCCGAAGTGGTTTGCTCCGACACATTTTCCAGTGACTCATATATAGGGACTTGTAGAGACTCCACCTGGTAGTCATGATCCCCTACTTCATCCTACTTCATCCAATGACGTCCCAGATGCCACGTCCCAGAGGAGGTCCATTTGCGTCCCGCGAGGTACGGGTCATGCCGGATGACGATGATTCTTCAGGTGGGGCGGCTCCAAACACCCGACGACCGGATCCATTGGGGGTCATAGGACCCTGAGGACCCGGCGTTCACCAGCAGGCTTGCTCTCTTTGCGTTCACCCGTAACGTAACAACAGCCAGTTCCAGTTTTAGCTGATCGAGTTAATTTCCCTGTGTGATCCTGTGGGTGATCTGAAGAAATTGTGTGTTTTTTGATCGGTTCCTTAATTCAGCAATTTGAAGAATTTGGTTGTAAGGTGTAAGTGTAGTTGCCATGGGTTTGGTGTAACATGGGACTTGCCGGACTTCACGCCACTTGACTAAGTTGCGGCTGGCAAGTCCCGTGTAGACCCACTCTCAGAAAGATGGACAAACCAACGTGACAAACATTCAAAGACCCTCCCAGTCGGAGAGTTGGCAGGCATTCTTCTCCAGCACCAGCTTTGAGCGACCGCAACGACCGCGCCAAAGAAGCAGCGATCGTTCGAGTTTAGCGTTTGCGCGTTGGGGATGGGAGGGATTTGGGAAACGGTGGTCATCGGCCGGCGAATGGCCAGAAACTGAGCAACTCAGCATCAGCCGGAAAGGCAGAGAATGCTTGGAGGAGAGATACACAGAGATAAACTAACTTCGCTTGAACATGTGCAGTTTCTTCATCATCTATACAGAAAGATCTCATGTCTTTTTCGAATCAATCCTCGAGCTGGCCCAGTTCCTTATCGCTGATGGCCCAGTTCTCAGACTCCGATGGTTTTGGCGCTCGTCACACGTATGGGCTGCATAGTAACTCAGCGCACCGTTTCACGGGTCGGGTCGCCGGACCAGACCGGACCACGGAAAAAGGGGCGAGCGGAGCGGGTCGGAGCGGATCGGAAGACGGGAGTCCCGTCGATGATCAGCGAGCTGAGTCGGTGAGTCGGCGATCTGCGCGAGCTGAGTCGGTGAGTCGGCGAGCCGTGCCCGACATATTTGGCTTGAAGTTGAGGGCGTTTCTCATTCTAGCACTCGTATTCAATCCTGATCATTGAACAGTGAACTTTTCACTCGAAAAAGGCTAATGACATCATAAAATTAACCCACCAGAAAAAGAATCAATCGGCGGTCCAGCTCCATGGACGAGAGCACCTGAGAACTCCTTGGTGCTCAAGGACATAGGGTTATCCGGGATAGGCGTGCGACTGTCCGTTTCTGTCGTTGGAGATCGATTTTTGTGCGGTTGACAGATTGATGATCGAAGTGAGCAGAAACTCTCTCCGAAGGCTCAGGTTGTGATCGGTACTGTAGAAGGCTCACCTGCACATTACACATTGCACCTCATTGCCAAAATCTTTTTGGCTGATGGTGAATGTTTGTAAGATGCTTGGTTTGCTCATGCTTCACCTCGCTCTCGCAGCTGCGGAATACAACGCCTTGCTGCAAGCAGCTAGTGAAGGGCTCGGGCATGTGGGCCCCAAGCGAATTCCATGCCTGGTCCACCAATTGTGGAAGGCGCAAAATGGTCAGCAGCAGAACACATTGAAGCTCAAGAACCCCACCTGTGAGTTTCAATTTTGGATCTTCGGCTGAGCAAACAGTACATCCGCAGTATTGAAGTGTATTGAATACTGATGCATATGTTCAATTATTTTCATATGAAGTTTTAATACAACATAATAACACCTTTGGCTGTTGATTTTTGTTTCATGTCCATTTTCTGCTTCGACAGTGGGTGTACAACCATTGATCAGACTGGCACCAAGGAATGACACAGAGATGGAAACATTCTGCAGGACGACGTCTCAGAACCAGATTTGGCCCATTTGGGATCGGCTTGCACATGCGGAAAAGGCGAGTGTTTTTGGATACCTGGTTCTGTGGGACCAGGGAGGTTATTTTGCAGACATCAACGTGGAGTCGGTGATTCCCATAGACACCGATCACCTGGCGACTTTCGTTGACCGCAAAGGACTTGTGCGGCATGTGCTGTGTTGCCACATTCAAAGCTGACACTATATATATATACATAATTGACAAAGTCTGACACACTTCGACATTGGTTTTCAGTTAACTCAATTTCCAGGAAAATGGTGATAGAACGGCACGGTGAGAGATTCAGTTCACTTGAAAGGTTGAACAAGCTGTTTGTGCGTGACTGCAGAACTCAGCGGTGGTGAACGAGTGGGTGACTCAGCTGCAAAACCAAGGTTTGGGGGTGGAAGCATGAAGGACCATGAAACAAACCGTGGAAGAGTAGGGTAACAGCTTGTGAGAGAACGAGCAGGTACGTCAGTTCCGCGTCCGGAACTGATATCCTCACCATGTATTGCCAGCTTCGTTGATGGAGAAGCAATACAGGTGTCTCCATCCCCTGCTGGAAACGCGAGAACCCTTCGGAACAGGGCTGGACACACACACACGGTGCCGCTTGGCGGCGCTCGCGTGAGAAACCTGAATAGATACCTAAAAAGCCTAAGAAACGAAAGAAAGAAAGACAGAAAGAGCAGCGCTAAGAGGGCAAGAGAGAAAGATAGGTGTAGAGAAATGAAAAACGAATACTTAGCCCTTGACTGGGGTAGGGAAACGAGCCTCAAGAGCCACCTAAAAAGCCTGAGAAAAAGCCCAACAAACGACGAAAAGCGTAAGAAGGAAAAGGAGGCAGGGAGGGGGTGTATGTCCATGTGTGTGTTTGAATACCTAGCACTCTAGAATTACTGAATACTTAGACGAAGTGAATTCGGTGCACTAGTTAGGGAGCGGGACTTTTGTCTTACACCGCCCGGGTAGAGTAGACTAGAAAAGGGACAACAGAGGGAAAGGCACCGACACACACGTGTGTCGAGTACCATTTCCCTATGTTACCCTAATTAGGTAGGGAGTAGAACACAGTGGGGGGGGGGGTTGGGAGACCTGCCTCAAGGGGGAAAAAAGCCGTTTTTAAGCCCGGCGGCTATCAAATTCGTTTTTTAGCCCGACGGCTGTATAAGCAGTGAATTCAGGGTGGAGAAGTTGAGGAAAAGTTAATGAAAGAACGATGAGTCAGTAACACGATTTCCGGCATGCAAACGGCGCCTCCTTGCGGAGGATCACACCCAGCACCCATGTGGGACGGCTGAGCGGCTCACACTTCGACATTGGTTTTCAGTTAACTCAATTTCCAGGAAAAGGTGATAGAACGGCACGGTGAGAGAGTCAGTTCACTTGAAAGGTTGAACAAGCTGTTTGTGCGTGACTGCAGAACTCAGCGGTGGTGAACGAGTGGCGTGACTCAGCTGCAAAACCAAGGTTTGGGGGTGGAAGCATGAAGGACCATGAAACAAACCGTGGAAGAGTAGGGTAACAGCTTGTGAGAGAACGAGCAGGTACGTCAGTTCCGCGTCCGGAACTGATATCCTCACCATGTATTGCCAGCTTCGTTGATGGAGAAGCAATACAGGTGTCTCCATCCCCTGCTGGAAACGCGAGAACCCTTCGGAACAGGGCTGGACACACACACACACACATTTACAGTACCAGTAGCCCATGCAAAAAAGTGAGTATGTTGGATGGTATTGGCCACCTGCCACCTATTAAAACAGGAGGTGCAGATATTGACGGCCAGTGGAAGCTTTGGCCATTCGCAGCCTGGAAGATTGAAATGACCCCTCAGCTCGCAGCCAGTGCGCGAGCCCATGTGGTCACCCTTGGCGTAGCTGGTGCTTTTGGAGTGCATCAAGAAGAATCTGAGGTCTGAGAACTTCAAAGCAAAGAAAGGCGTTGGGCGCAAACGGCGGTGGCAGGTAAGACCGCCTGGGCCCATTGGTTCGCCGGTTTTCTTTAATGCACTGAATTAAGTTCGCCTCCAGGCAGCCTGGCAGGTATACAGTCTGGAGATGTTTGGACGCTTTTCAATCACGCATCTCGTGAATCGATTGGCAAGAGGTCAGTCACGGTATTTTCAACGCTCCGACTTGAAACCAGGCGAGTTGGCATGCTGACGCATGCCGGAATACAACGTCATCTGTCACCCTGAATCAGGGGTGCGACTTTCGCCGCTGATACCTTGACTTCAAAAAGACTTTCGCCGCTGGCGACGCGGCGACGCGGTGATTCGACTTCACCGCTGGGCATGTTCATTACTGGCAAGTTTTCACCAGACCACTCATTTTGTTCATTGCTCGATAAGTCCTCTCTGGTTCTTGGAGTTTGCGCCAATGCAGGAAATCGACAATCGCAGGAACATTGTCTAAGACCAATAAGACCAAGACATTTTGATGACCCGTGCACTGAAAGCATACTAGTTACTAGTGACAAAGCAACATTGATTGTCTTTTTTGGGATTGGAATGGTTGGGTTTGAAGATGTTTGAAGTGTTGATTGGAATTGTCAGGACATGGCAGAGCCAGCTGAAACTCCAGAAGTATCAGCGCCAGCAGAAACAGAAGCTACTGCAGCTGAAACTCCTGCAGGGGTAGCATCAGACGCTCCGCCAGCTGCTGAGGCAGAAACTGAAGCAGCTGATGCCACACTGGCCCCAGTTGAGACTGAAGCAGAAGCAGCTGATGCACCAGCAACGGCAGCTGATGAACCAGCGACAGCAGCTGATGCAGCAGCGGCGACAGCAGCAGCTCCTGCTGATGCTGCGCCAGCAGATGCAGTGCTGCCTTCAGCTGTGACAGAGGCCTCCGGCTGGATCTGCCCGGATTGACGGAGGCTGTACTGAGGCTACTCAGCCATCTAACTAGCATTGTTGATAGCCTCTTCGGACCAAGCACTGGCACCAGGAAGCTCAACATAGATGAACAAGCGGCAGTCTTCTTCTGAGCCCGAGCCCTTCCCATACGACCCTTGAATCTAGTGGCGTCCTTGCTCCTAGTAGCGATACCAGGAGCCCCTAGTAGCGTCCTTGCTTCTGGCAGGGATGCCAGGAGCCCCTAGTAGCGTCCTTGCTCCTAGTAGGGATGGCAGAAGCCCCTAGTAGCGTCCTTGCTCCTAGTAGGGATGCCAGGAGCCCCTAGTAGCGTCCTTGCTCTTAGTAGGGATGCCAGGAGCCCCTAGTAGCGTCCTTGCTGTAGGGATG